CAGTGCTTTGTTTATGTGGGCACTCTTTGGGGGGCATTCTCAGCTGAAGAAGATGCCTGTACTGAAGGCACATTTGTACTCACAGAGTCCAGTTGTGTTCTCTTTGCTCTGTGTGTGGAATATTCCTGCTGAAGTCAATGTCCCAGATTAGCAGGAAACAGATAAATTAAGCTGTTAAAACCATGTAATAAGAATCTGAATGTATATACACCTTTCAAAAACATTCAGTAAATATAGATATACATTTATAGTTAAGTAATGCTGTATTTTTTAAACTATTTTTAAAAGATTTTGGACACAGTGCACATTTCATACTAGAAAATACACAGCAGTAGTATTAGTCAATGGGGAGGAAATGAGGAGAAGGTTTAGAGGGGTTTATCCCTCTAACAGGATTTCTAGGGTCAGGCATTCTCTCTTTATCTAATTTAGGAATTAGTTTTGCAAGGATACTTATTTAGAAAATATTCCTAAATATGCTTATATAAGTATAAAAATCTCTATTGGGCAGTATTTTACCAGGATACTGGGGGAGAGGGAGATACTTGAGAGTCTTCACACATTTTTTTGTACATGAAAAGAGGCACAAACAAAACATAAACATTGTTTCTGTGGTTATGGATAAAAAATTGAGCTTTGAAATAGAGTAACTATCCTAGAGAAGTGCACTTACATAGCCTAACAAATAACACCCTTGATTTAATATTTTTTGAATGTTGTTGCATTCATATTTCCTCTGTGTGATTCCACTGTCTCTCTTGAACAAGGTGTTGCTGTGAACATTGAAATGTTGGTATTCAGGTTGATTATTTGCTTGGTGGGGACGCATTGTCCTGGCTCTGTAATTCTATATAGCCAGCAGCTGGACAGGGAGCCATTCATTCCTGAGCACAGGAGGAAAATATGAGACTGTATTTTTGCTTAGTTGAATTTAAAGTAGCAGCTAATACGTAATTTCCTGGCACTTCCCTGCCATTTTTGATGGTTATACAGAAGGACGTTTTCTCCCTTCTATTGAATTTTTGAGGAAATTAAATACCTTCTCAGTAAATTGGAGAACTCACTTTTAATTACAGCAATTAAATATTGTCAGTTTATTGTCAGTTTAAGATTTCTGTAATTACAATATTTTACCTCTATAGATCTGATATATAACCTATCCATTGAATTACCAAGACAAGAAAAGGTAGAAACTTTTGTATTTCAGAAGGTGTAAGCATTTCTCTGCTTATACCATGGGAGTTCCTGTTTGTAAATTAGTTGTTCTCAGTTGTTAGCATCCACGTCTATAAGAGGATTTCTTATGTCATGGTACCTAAGACATGTGTGCTCTTAGACATTGATCCCCTCTCATCAAACATTTCTTCTTCAAAATAGCATAGCTAATATCTCTCCTTGTATTGAAAATATTAACTTGAGAAAACTAGTTTCTGATTTCACCAGTGCATGCATTTTAAAATCTGAATAAGGTGAGATTTAAAAAAAAAAAAAATTAATTCATATTATAAAATTCTGTTTGGCCTTTAGTGTGCTTATTACATGTATCTATATATATAAACCTAATCTTTCAGGGTCTCAGAAATTGCTTCTCATCCTCATCTACACATAGTTTGATTTTCAGATATCTTCACAGAATGCATTAAGAATCTATTTTGAGCTTTTAATTTTGTACTTTGTGAGTACAGTCTCACTTATTTCTGGCTCATGAACATGAGTCACATTTCCCTCATCACATTCCTAGGTTTTCATGGAGCTGACACCTCACAGAAGTAACTGCAGGAGTTAATGTCTTGTGTGTATTCCCAGACACAATACACCCAGCACCTGGTGCACCATCTTCTGCATGACAGCAGCCCCGACAAGTGAAATTACACCAGTGTATTGGAATATTGTGGTGACACACAGGATATTGTGGTCACCGTGGTTCCATTGACTTTCCTTCCACTCACTAGCTGTGGGATATCACCAGGGCTTCTGTGGCAAGCACATTTCTTTCCCTCTCAGAATTTTTCATAGAGGTGCACAGAGAGAAATGAAAGAGAAAACATTTTCTATTTCTGCTCCTTGTTTTTCCTATGTGGAATGTGTTTGGAGAATTGTTTACCTGGAGTGAGTGCTTGATTGGATTCTGGTGAGGATTGTTAGAGCCTGATGGCCAATCCAACCCACCTGGGGCTGGACTCCAGAGAGAGGGTCACGAGTTGTGTTACAGTTAGAGTCAGAGAAAGTAGTACGTAGTTTTAGTATCCTCCTTTTATATAGCGCATATATATATATATATATATATATATAATTTATATTAATGCATTTTAGCATAGTTATAATAAAGAAACAATTCAGCCTTCTGAATTGAGTCAAACATCGTCATTTCTTCCCATTGGGTTCGCCTGCATTAACAATAGGCTTCCACGTGCTTTTGTCTTTCGGTGGCTTCTGGATGTCTCACCCACCATAAAAAAAATTTGCAGCAACCTAGAGATTGTTTTGTGGTGCTTGAGTGCAGACAGACATGGTTTGGGTGAGCAGAGCAAACGCCACAATCTGGGCTTTCTTTTTTGTAGCAAACTTTCAGTCCTGGGAAAAAGGCCACTGTTAAAGGTGGAGGTTCTTCAGGAGCTTGGCATGTTAGGTGTGCTTAGGTTTCTTTGTGGTCTTTATACTTCCCCTAAAATATGTGTGTTGTATCACCAAGTTTTCTGTCTAAGCACTGCCCTACCCCTAACCCAGCACCCTGGGATTCCAGACCACAAAAAATGTAGGAGCAGCAATGTTGGGGCCCTGCTGGGATGGCCTTGGTGTGCCTTTTCCAGCCCCAGTTTTCCTGAAGCTGTAGGCTGTTTAACTCTTTCAACCCTTACCCCTACCCTAACCTTAAAAATTACCTGGAGATTTTCTGCTTGATGTTTACTTAAAGCTATTTATTCACTTCAGAAGCAAAGAAATTAAAAGGAATGGGAGTGCAGATATATGAAGAAGTGTGCCAGATATTAATACCAAGAAATGTGCAGAAAATGATACCTATTTCCAGAAGCACTTTTGCTCTTTGCCACTGGTGTTCTCCAAAATGTTTCTTTTTCTCCATTACTTTTTGTCAATGGTCATTACTGCTTTGCACATGTCCTGTGGCTTAAACCACCTTGGCTCTTTGCAACATGGCTCAGGCCCTGGGTATGGAATACAGGAGCTCATTTTCAGGCAAATAATTCACACATTGAGCTATTGTGGATTTATGGCTTGGATGACCTGGCTGCATGTCTGTTCAGGATGTTACACAGTGTTCAGTGTGCTGGGGTCTCAGGCTGTCCAGCTCTGAGAACCTCAGCAGCCACGCTCCATCTTCTACTTAAACACAGAGCCTCACTCTTGGAAGAGCCGATCACATGAAGCCTTTTCAATGTACCTGGCAGAGCTTTCAGTCATCTTTCAAATACAAATTGCTTGCAAAAGAAAGCGGTGCCATTTTCTCCCTGCTGGCTTTCTGAAATGTCATGTTGGGAAAAGCACTTACCATGTCTTTCAAATGAAGAGAAAGCTTTCAGTAATGACTGGTAGTTCTGAGTCTGTTGCAGCCAGTGCAGCTGTTGAAAATGTCATTGTGTGTGGCACAAATATGGGGACATTCTGAGCAAGACCGTGCACTAACTGATTTTGGTATTAGTTGAAAAAAAACCCCAAACAATATAATGTTTGAAGAATAGACAACCTTTGGATGTAAATGCATAAAACAAAATAAAAATAGAAAAATAGTTTTATTAGTTCTTGAAGTCATCAGTAAAAATACATTATTCACAATACTAGCTAGAGATCTACGAATTTTGCAGAGTGTGTGATTGAATTTCACATATCTATGAGCAGAATTTAGAACAATCAGGCCAACAGTAATATTCTTGCACTGAAGTGCTGGAATAATTCTTTGGCAGGGTATGTTGAAAGGCTGAAATGTTCCTAATGTTTTCCAAGTAAACTTTTTACTTGTATTACTGCCTAAACACCTCGGAGTTCAGTTTTTTATCATTTTTTACCAGTTATGATAAAAGTATAAATACTTTTTCTATAATTAGATGTGACTATGAATAATTCATTGCCTCACGTCCCCATATGAGTTTCCCATCTTCATCATTTGGCCAGAATTTGGGAGCTTTCCTCCCTTTCTTAGCTTTTTGTTTTCATTAGCTTTTTGTTTTCTCCTTTGGTTTGATCTGTCTTATCTATGTTCAATTTTCATTTTTTTTTCTGTTCTGTTTCTTTACTTCTTCTCTTACATCATATAGATTTTTTTCCTTTTTTACCCAGTATTTTTTCTCAGCTTACTGTTTTTTGGGGTTTTTTTTATTTGTTCACTTTTGGCTTGCGTCTTATGTAAGTGCAAGAACACCTAACATTTCTGAATTCTAATGTTCACGGAATGCTGAACTATAAAGTTGCCTTGGGAACTAAAAGGAGACCTAAATTTAGAACCAGAGATTCTTTTTGGGGTCAATGGTCATTTGTTAGTCTCCCATATGTACTTAGAAAAGAACTTCCCAAGGAAACTGCCAGGTCTCAGCTGGGAAAATGGAAAGAATAAAGAACAGAAAATGAAGTTTGCTCGTGTGTGTCTTCTGCTGTGGCTCATCAAAGTGTTAATTGTTTCATTTCACAGGAGTTGCTGTTTTAAATATGTGTAAAGGGCCATTATGTTACTTGTGGGCATTGCTGGCTTCTTAACTGAACTTTGGAGCACTTGATAGCTTCAGATGGTTTGTCCTGTCAAACACACACAGTGGTGATGCCAGCCACTCTGTGCACCGTGTGATTAGTGCTTATTCACCTGAGGAATTTATCCCTTTCCAATGCTTTCCATCACTGACATCCAGACTTGCTGAACTGTACCCCACTGGCTCCTGAGGAGCCCCTGTGAGCCTTTGTGAAAGGTTGTTCAGGGGTGTGCTGGTCCTGGAGCACAAAATACTGATCAAATGGGTTCTTCACTGAACAAATTGTGCTTATTTTCTATGCAGGGAATAAATCACAAGATAGTGGGATTGCAGAGATGGAGGAGCTTCCAGTCCCACACAACATCAAAATAAGTAACATCACGTGTGATTCCTTCAAGATTTCTTGGGACATGGATTCTAAATCCAAGGATCGCATTACTCATTACTTCATCGATCTCAACAAGAAAGAAAACAAGAATTCCAACAAATTCAAACACAAGGTAATTTTCATTTAAAAGTCAAGGCACAAATGAATCTCTAAGTTTTATTAACCTTTCAAAGCCAGGCCATGGGAAACAGGATATCCAGTAAAAGTGGGTTTAGATTAATCTGATGGAATTCTGGTTTACTCAAAGTGCCTTCTCTGTCTCCAGCCTATGTGCATGAACACACAAATAAATTTGTTTCACGGAGAACTGCACATTGACTTCTGTTTTATTTGACAGCATTTTTGGAACCTCTACAATGTAGTGCAAGACTGCCATTTTTATTCCTGAATAGTTCTTTATCACTATTTACAAAATGTGTGTATTCTCGGCCTGTCCTTGTTCAGTGACAGGCTCCTGAGAGCAGCATATATCAGTTCAACAGAAGAGCCACAAATTCTAATGCACTTCAGGAAGGCTTCCAGCAATTTTAATTTGTAGCATTCAGCACTGTGACCTCAATATTCATCTGGCCTCTTTCCTCAAGCCTCTGGTGCAGGAACATATTGAAGGCATTGCAGGATCTGCAAATGCCTTACTTACCAAATCCAGCAAAATTTGCTTTGACCTCAGAATAGTTGAAATACTGAGATATCTAGAGAAACATTGAGATAGAACATTCTTCAAAATTAAAAACAATGTTGGCATTATCTAAAAGATAAAGTTTTCCAAGGCACAAATAACTGTTGAAACAAATGTAAGGGCTGTAATTTTCTCAGCACCTAAATAACTGTTTGTTTCTAAGCCAGTGGGATAAACAGAAGATATTCCCACCAATTTCTCTGAGGCTTTTTATTGTTGAGAGTATTTTTAATGAGATTTATGTTAATGGCAGGTGTATAATTTTCTTATTTGAACTTTTTTGTTGCTGTTGTTTTTGGTTGGAAGCAACATATGCAGTATGATTTAAAAAAGCACTTACTGCTTCTTGAAATTGAGAATTTTACAAGCTTGGTCAGGTTGTTGCAGTTCCTAGGAACCAGTGTATGAAGCACTACTAAACCTAGTCTTATAATAGGCATGTATTATGCCCCATTTTTAATTGTAATAGCAAATAAAATAGGGTACTTTTGCTTTTGAGGGTACTTTTTTTTTTTTTTTAATTCCCATTTTACACTTCAGGAATAAATATACTCTCTAAAATGGGATGAATTCTTTCTAATTTCATTTATTTTATTATTCTACTTGTTTTTTCATTCATGTGCTGACTGGTGTATACTTGGAACATTTATATTTGTGAAAAGTAGAGCCATCCTAGTAGAGCAAACACCACATACACTTTATCACAGTGATGAGATTAGACTTAAAATGGAGAGGGGAGGAAAAGATATTGGTAGTTTAATAAAGAAAAGTTATTAGATTTTTTTTGTGTTTCTCAGCAATTCCCTAGCTTATTGTGCAGTAGCGTTTAGTCAAAGTACAAAGGTAATTGGTTTTGTAAGAACAGGAGACTAAAATCTATCAATCAAAATGTTGAATAATTTGGATATCTTGTTGGAGTTAACTAAAAATTGATTGCTACTAATTTTGTTAGTGACTTAGTTAAGATTTTTATTGTGTAATTTTCTGATTGTTTTATTCCCAAGATTGAATGACAAAGATCCAGAGAGTAGAGAGAGGGTGAACAATAGTAAAGCACAGACAACTCTGTGGCAGAGCACGTGGGTGTTTGCTTTCATGCATCTTTAGTACAAGCAGTTTTTAGCACACGTTTTGAAGGAACTTTGGTAGATAATTGAAGTGCTCAGGTTCCAAATGTGTAACCCAGGTGTGGTTCAAGGCAAGCATCCTTCCTCCCTCTAAGGTCGCCCATAGGAGTTTCCCAGCTGAAGCTCAGCAGCAGGAGCTGATAGCCCAGCAGCTGCAGCCCTGAATCCTCCCAGCAGGGAGCTGACTTCAGTCCCCACCCATCGGCTGACTTCCTCACAAAGCTTTTGCGTGAAGGAGGGGGCTAGCACTGCCCTTTCTCCTAGCAGAGCTTTTTTAGAGAGAAAACAGTGAGCTCTACTGCCTAGATATAAAAAAGAGCATTGGGATTTACTCCTAGGAGTCATCAGCGCCCTGAAGATGCCTCTGCAAGGAGAATTCACCCTTACCTAGCCTACAGGTAGGGTAAAGCACTGTAAGTGCCATCTCTCCCAGAGGTGTTAACATAAGGGACCAGCTCATTTTCTAACTTATACAGAATTAACATTAAGTATCAGTTTGCTCAGATGGCCAAGTTACTTGGGATATAGACTTAACCTGCTAGATCCATGCTGTACCTCAGGAAAGGGAGCTCTTTGTTTTCTTGTGGGATGATTCAACCTTCCAATACTGTTTCTGTTGGTAAATATATAAAGTATATGTAGGGTGTATAAAGTTTTATTATTTTTGACTATAGTCATCATCTCTGTGAAGGAGAAGGTTTGAATTGGTAGTGGTGTGCAAAGACTAGAATTGTGATATGATTTTATCTTTTCAATTCATTTTGCATACCTCCTCTCATTTTTAAAATATGGATATATGATTGCTCCCATGTAATAAGAAAAATACTCAAATATTTAGCAAAACTGGGACTAGAATCTGGCTGTGCTGAGTTCCCACAATGTGTTCAATTAAATGGCCTGGCAAAGAGAAGGGTGACATGAAATGGGAGAAAGTTGAAGACTGAAAGCTGCCTCTTTTCCCAAAAAAAGAGAATGGGGTGACTCATACACCTTGCTGCTTAGTTACTCAAAGCTTCCAAGCTGTTCTTAGAAATTATTGCCATCTAGGTACCTTTAGAGCTGTCTGGTGGGTGCTGGTAGTGGAGCAGCCATCTGCCACTCTAAAATCCTGGCTCTCCTTGAGCTGGCACAGTACCTTTGCACTTTGGTGGCTCAGCCAGGAATGAGAGCTGAGCAGGAGATGAAACGGAGAAGTGGAGAGGTTCCCAGAGGAATCTCAATGTGAACATTTGAACATTTCTTCTGTATTGTGGCCTTTAAAAAAAAGGTGTTTGCTTAGAAAAAAACAAGCAGGTTAGAGTTGTGAGAAGCATCATATCTGCCCCTCTTCTCCAGCTGTGCAAGACATAAACCCCTTACTTCAATGTGGTGGTCTGCCCCTTTCTTTCTACCCGTTTTTTTGCTAGTCTCTCCCTTTTTTGGTATGGTTAAAAGAGGTTGCTAATGCACAGCTGGAAGGTAAACCTTTGACACCTGGGGCAACAAGGCTTTTAATGTTGCATGAAAACTGACAAAATGAATGGAGAAAAAGCCACCACTGAGGTGTGAGCACAGAGATCTGACCCAGGTGGAAGCTGTTCTTACCATAACTGAATAAGAGGTGACAAGAAGACCAGTGATGTTAGCTGTAGTGCCTGCTGACTGCATTAGCAGTAGCAGACTCAGTCCAGTGGGATGCCTTTCAGGGTGGCAGCTTTAAATGTCATTTGGTGTTCTTTTTTCTTTTCTTTGTAATTTTTCTCTACATATTATGAATTGTAGCATGTTCAACTGTCTCCTTTTCAGATAAAGTTTTCATACAATTATAATCTGATTTAAATTATAATTGGCAAAAGAGAAATTACAACAAAATTTTACCTTGGACTATCACTCAATTACATCAATTCCTGTAATATCCCAAGCTGCTAATTTTATGGTTTCTTAATACAGAAACTGAAGATAATTTTTTTGTTGATAGGAAAACAAAAGGAAATTTTTTTTTCCATAATAGAAGACAAGGGGGAAAAAAAAAATCCTTACAATCTTGCTTAGAGATCATGACCAGGAAATGTCTCCCTTCCATTCCCTTTTTCCTTAAAAGACTACTTTGCTATAGGGAGATGGACTTCTATAGTAGTCCATCTGCCTATAGTCCTAGTACAGGACTACTATATATAGGTAGATGATTGTGGACTAGGATTTATAGGTGGACAGTTAAGGATGTCATTTAAAGTGCCCACTTCTCCCATGCCACCTGTCTTACTATTCTGTTATTACTGGTGAATATTCAATAATAAATATCTCTCATTCTATCACAGCTCCTCAGGTACACTACAGAGAGTCATTGAACTCCATTGTGAGTCCTTTCGCCTACAGTTCTTGCATAAAATGTCCCATTCTTCTGTTTTTTCTGTCCTTTAGTGGTCTGTACCAAAGTCTTTGGTCTGTAGAAATCAAGTATTTCAACTACAACAAGAAACTATTTTTCTTGGTCGCACCCTGGGGCTGTGATATACTGGAAGAGCACAACAGAGGATCTGAAGGGGCAGTGGAGGGGAAAGGAAGAGGTTCAGTGATAGGCTCAAGCTGTTTGGCTTCTTCTGGCCACTGCTGTATAGCAGGGTATTTTGAAAGATGTGAACCAGCCATAGCTACTCTGCAATGTGTTTAATTTTCTGTGTTGAAATTTAGTTTGGAAGGTAGCAGCAGCAGTGTAGCGGGACTGATTGACAGCAGGAGGAATTTTGTTTGATTACATTGGCCAAAAGAAAACTGTGAGAGCACAGGAATCTCTTAAATTAAGATGCCTTTGTTCTCAGTAGCATGTCTTTCTTTGCATATGTAAGCATAAATGACCTCAGAGTGAATTTTATATTTGGGCTATATATAGTAGTATTGCTCTACAGTCACTTGGAACAATAATTATTTCATACGTGCAGGTTATCCCCATGTCTCTTAGAACAGGTCTTACACCACAATCCTCTGCCACTGCTCAAATAACTTGAGTTTGCAGAGAAGAGCCAGGGCTGGGGACTACACTGCAAAAGCAGTGAAGGAAAGGGTGGCAGATTGGTTTGCCTGCAGTGCTGACTTGTGTGTCCTTCGGTGCTTTTGTTTGTGCCAGGATGTCCCCACCAAGCTGGTGGCCAAGGCTGTTCCCCTGCCCATGACTGTGCGTGGGCACTGGTTCCTGAGCCCCAGGACAGAGTACACGGTGGCGGTGCAGACGGCCTCCAAGCAGGTGGATGGCGACTACGTCGTGTCAGAGTGGAGTGAAATCATCGAGTTTTGCACCGCAGGTAACGCTGCTGAAGGGTCCTGTTCCACAGGCTGGAGTCAGTTAATGCTGGCCTTGCTGCCACGCTGGGCTGGTCACCTGCCAGTGCCAGCTGTGCTGGTGGCCTTAAACAGTTACCCCTGGAAACTGGAATTCACACTTTAGGCTTTGTATGTGCCGAAGTTTGGCACGTTAAGCAGAGGCAGCTGGACTGCCCTTTTCTTGTGCAATAGCTTAGCTGTCCCAAAGTGCTGTGCCTGGCACCACTGCTTGTCCAGGCTAGGAAAGGGCCACTTGTGTGCCTGTCTCTGGCTACCAGCACCTGTGGGGAAAGGTAGAAGGGCAGTTCCCTGACAGCTTAATATGTTCTGCTGTTCTGCCTTCTCTGCATGCTGCAAAGCCTCAGCACCACCAACACCCCGTCTCGAGGGTCTCTTTGGCCCCTCTGATTTATAAGGTTTCCTTAGGATGTTCATGACCTGCTGTCACTATGCATGCCTGTGTAAAAGCTGAGGACTGAGGCAAGCTCAGTATGAAACCTGCATTGGTTGGGAAGCCATTTAAGCTGGACCTTAAGCAAGCTTTGTTAGTACTGTCATTGGTTATTGGCTCACAGCCAGGTATATTGTAGCAAACAGTTTGCCAAATGGTATGAACCAGAGAGGGCATTCCAGAGCTCCTCTGCAGTCCTGAGCTGCACTGCAGTCCCAAATACAGGGAAGCCAGCTCTAACATAGGAGATCCTGAGCTTAAAGTTGCTGTGAGCTTGCAGAGTCTTTATGAGGAAGGAGTGGAGAGAATCACAAACACCTGCTCCTGCCATTTGATTTGCTTGTTGTCACTGCTGAAAACTGGAGCACGATGTGATGTATATTACCAAGACTCTGTTCCTAGTTTTCAGTCTGCATGTGTCTGTGGCTTTTGGAGAGTGTTGTGGTTTTTCCTGCCCCCTGTACTAGCAGTTTGTCTTTCCTTTCCAGATTATTCAAAAGTTCACCTAACACAGCTATTGGAAAAAGCTGAAGTGATTGCAGGCCGTATGCTTAAACTGTCTGTTTTTTATCGGAATCAGCACAAAGAATACTTTGATTATATCAGGTAAGAAACTAAACATATTCCAAAGTCCTTTGGCAAATTAAAGGAGTAATGAAAACAAGTAGATAGAGACAGCTGAGCTGAAGCTAGAGCAGAATGTCTGTATGCTTTATAGTCCATTCAGAGGAAGACAAAGAATAAAACACAACTCGTTTCTTTCACCTTGCTTAACTCAGCACCTCCATTAGGCAATAAAAGATTTTGAAGCAGGAACTGAGGTACTCACAGGGACTTCAGCCTGATTAAAGCATCTGTAATCATAATGGAGAATTTAGTAGCTAAATATTTCCATTGTACTGAGAAATTAAGAGTGAAGTGACTGACAATAGGGGTATACAACAGTGTGCACAGGCAGTTGCCTGCATGTAAGAGTTCCATCTCAAATATTTGCTCTCCCTTGTACAGTCATCCCATTTCCATGCCCACAGACTGCAATCTGAATGTTAATTTATAGACCATGTGGGGAGGGAAAGGTCATTATGTTTAGACAGTGTTAAACTACTGTGCTTCAGCAGGAGTGAAAAAACAGGATAGCTGAAGGTAGGTTCCCTGTTCTGTTGGAGACCCAGTGTGCCCTCCACACATGGTAGGAAGCATCAGTGCAAGAGAAAAGCAGACTTTTTGACAGGAGTCAAAGCTCGTGCTGCATGAGCAGGAGCAGCCACAGAGGGTAACCCTCTCCTGTTAGAAGAACATGGATGAGAGGTAAGCAGTGTGTTGGAAGCCTGCACAACTGACTGTGCTTTAATATTCATCAGTAGATGGGGCTCCTGCTGGGCCACATAATTTCAGTTTTATGTGAGTGTCCCACTAGTACCTGCCTAGAAGGGAAAGTTTTTAAAACAACTAAAGGCAATCCAGCTTCAAAGAACAGGCACCACTATATTTGGAAACATTCCCACTTTATAGTCATGGGTACTTAATTTATTCCAAGAGTGTATTGAATATTGCAGATCATGGGCTTGCTCTTCCCTGTCTGTGTTTTGGAAGGTTTATTTTATTGCACATAGGGACACAGCTGCAAAACTCAGTAGAGGTAGAGAATAAATTGCAGTTGTTGAGGCTCTTTGAGGCCATCGTAACCACTGCTGCCATCCTGGGCTGGATACCACAGAATGGAAATGCCTGTGCTGTTCTGATCCTCATGTTGCTTTGTTTTCAGCTATGTAATCATAGTGCATCTACCTTTTGTGTTCATTAGTGTTGAAAATTGCCACTGAAGTGCATTTATAACTGTGGATTTGGCCTTGATCTGCCAAATGTGACTCTAATAGATTGCACTCTATCTGTTCCTCTTCTTCCTGCTACGTTCTTTCTTGGTTTGACACCAATAGAGATGGGTTTGTTTTCCCTCTGTTAGTGAGCTAACAGAGACAAAAAGCTGTTTTACCAGGCCCGTGGGAAGCTACACTACCAGAACTGGCTGATGGTCACTTCTTTTGATCAGAAATAGACTAATACAGCCACAAGGGCTAATCATTCCCCGGTACACCTGTCTGTATGTTATGTTAAAAGCCCTAACCACGTGCTTCCTATTAGGAAAATTCCTTGTCATCCCATGCCTGCCATGGTCTCTGGTGTCATCACACAGCCTGGAAAAGCTCTGGTAGCATTGGCATACAGGCAGCTGTTCCTGGTTGCTAAAGCATCAGCCCCTAATGGAGGGGTTGAGGTGAGCTCAGAAGGGGTGTTTGTGTCACTGCAGCCTATCCGGGCTGGGAGCACCAAAAGCAGCTCAGATCCCCGGAAAGGGCGACCTATAATTAGCCTAATTGGCCACTGGATGTCAGTGTCTTGCCACAGAAATGGAACCTGCTTTCTCAGAATGAAGCCTGACTTTTCAGGTTGCAGAGGTTTCAGGTGGTTATTTAAGCTTATTCAACCTTTTTTTTTTCCTCTTTTTTTCTCCCTAGTAATCTCTTCAGTCATAAAATACTAATTATACCCCCCCACTCCAATCAATGTCTTATGAAATAGGGCTTGAGACAATATAAGTAGGTAGTATTTGAATGGCTCAGAAAACTTCTGAAATGTATCTTAGGGTAAAATAGAGTGCTGCTGAGGAGATTACAAATAATGAAAAGAATAATCACAGCTGGAGATATTACTGTGTTAATTTAGAGCTGTTTTGTAATGTATACAGTGAGTTTGTTTGCTTTGACTACTACCTCCCACTTTAACCAAGCAAAACCTTCTCCCACACAGCACCATTTTACATGGACTTGTTGCAGGTTAAATGAAGAGAGAGAACAGTCTTTCTTAGCTAGTTTCCCCTTTCCTAAAAGGAAAAAAGAAGAAAAAAAAAAAAAAAAAGTAAAAGCAATTCAAGTGGGCAATATAAGAATCTCCAGCCCCACAGCCTCATGCATTTTTAGTCTGTCATGTAGTGAGTATAAGGATATTGTTCTAAGGGTACCTAGCAAATATGGTATTTTGCATGACTTTCAAAAAGGGCTGGGTCCCTTTCAGGTATTATGTAGTTGCAGGTGCAGAGGGAGCCAAAACTGCCACTGGAATACTTCCAGAGTTGTATGGGACACGAATATTGGGGAATGTCCTGCTATACATAAAATCTCAGGTGCTAAGGAGGGTTAGAGGCAGTGTTTTGGTGTATTCTCCTAAATTTAGCAGCCTAATGCTGCTGAATGCAATTTGGGATTTGGGGTTTTAAAAATTCACTTGTTCATTGTACATTTCTTTTCATTGGAATAAAATTGAGATAAGTTTAAAAAAAAAAAAAAAAGTTAGTCTTTTTTTTCCCCTTAGGACTAGTGACTGCAGAAGCTGGATACCAACCAAAATGGAAACCAACCAAATTGCCTAATTCTCTGTGCTCAGCTCTGCACTGATTGAAGTCAGCAGTAGCCCAATTAGACTTGAAATGATCATCTGGGGACAAAAAATACTGGTAGACAGTACACTCTTTCCTATAACCTCTCTAAAAAGCATCCTTTAGAAATAACTTTCATTGGCAGTTTTCTACATGAACTATATACTGCCTATGCTAAAAATACATATTAACAAACAGTATATTCAGCATATGGAGACTGACTTGCAATAGTCAACATGTGTTTATTGTTAGAAATGTAGTGTAAGTCTGAACAAATCAGCTAATTAAAGATATCTTTGTGCTTTTTTTGCCTGCATATGATACCCAGACAGAGAAGGCAGGCTGGAAAAACAGATTTTCCCCTTGAACAGGAGTTATTCTAGCTCTTCCCAAGTCTGATAGCACTTGATTTTCTTGGTCCTAAGACAATGAGATCAGCTTCCAGTTTAATGGTTTTCCTTTGTGTCCCTTCAGTCCTGTTTCCAAACAGCATGATGTCCTAACTTACCACTTTTTCTTTGCCATGTGTTACAAAATAAACAATACCAGTCCTTCATTTGTAGAGAGCATCATGGGAATGCTATGCAGCCCTCTGTTAAGGATAACAGTGGCAGCCATGGCTCTCCAATCAGTGGGAAGCTGGAAGGCATCTTCTTTAGCTGCAACACTGAGTTTAACACTGGGAAACCACCCCAAGATTCACCCTATGGAAGATACAGGTATGAGATTGCAGCTGAAAAACTCTTCAACCCAAATACTAACTTGTACTTTGGAGACTTCTACTGCATGTACACAGCCTACCACTACGTCATCCTCGTGATCGCCCCCGTGGGGTCACCAGGAGATGAGTTCTGTAAGCAGCGCCTTCCCCAGCTAAATATAAAAGATAACAAATTTCTGACCTGCGATGAAGAAGACGGGGTCATGGTTTACCATCATGCCCAGGATGTTATTTTGGAAGTAATTTACACTGATCCTGTGGATCTCTCCCTTGGCACAGTTGCAGAAATTACTGGTCACCAACTTATGAGCTTGTCTACTGCAAATGCAAAGAAAGATCCCAGCTGCAAGACCTGCAATATCAGTGTTGGACGTTGAAACTTCCCTCATTCCTTAGGAGCCTTCAAACCTCTGTTGCCCATTTCCATAGTCAGACAGTTCTGTCGGAAGCATGCACATGCCGCTGTCACCAAAAGCAACTACCAGTCTTCAAAACCTCCAATAGCCTTCTTAGGATTTCTTCTCTCCCTCTTTCCCTTCTGTTCCCCCGATGCTTTAAATGATTAGAAGTCCTGGATTTCTTTCTGGCAACCATTTATACCTAGATGCTGCAAAAATTGTTTTCTGTTTCTTGCCAAACATAACAAAATCCTATATAAACTGCTTTAGCAAAATAAAAATAACGGCTTATAAATGGTGTTTAAATATGCGTTAATTTTAACTACTGAACAAGTACTGGGATAACTGAACAGCATGAAAGGTTGTAATTGCAGCATGATTTGAATTTCAGAGCCTAGAAATGTCAGCACTTCCAACGTGTTGTTTGACAGTGTTATTTATGTTATTTATATTAGCTAACTGAAAACAGAAACTGTGTCTCGACATAATAAATATAATAGAAAAATATTTTATTTGTACTGTTGTATAAAATATTATACAATCATATAGAATATATAGATTACATTTTAATATCAATTGTATACATGTCATTAAATCATTTTCCCTTATCAAAGATGTAGTTTGTAAACTTCAAATAGGTCTGTATCTGTTCCTGTTGCTCTAGATGACTTTAATTAAAACAGATTTATGAAGACCATTTCTGATTCATAAAAGTTAAGTTATAAATTATTAAATCAGTACACTGAAACAACAAACGGCTGCAAAATAAAAAATTCCTTTTTTTAGTGTTCATATTGTTTCCTCCATACTACTTGAAGATGTGTACATCTTCCAAATCAGGCCATTACATACTAGATAAATACAAACATGGTCAGTACATAATAGGCTTTATAAAATCAAAATCTTCTAACCAAGATAAAAAAAACAAGATTGCTTATACTATGTGGTCAATACAAAATGACAGGTAAAGCAAAACACTAAAGATGATTCAACTGGTTCCAGTCCCTTTTTTTTTTTTTTTTTTTTCTTTTCTTTAAGTAATTCTTCCCTCCTTTCTGTCTGGGGTAGTAATTTCCCAGAATCTCTGCTTTTCGTTTCTAGTACAAAACCTGCTGATAATCTTTCTATTACTAATCCACTTTTCACACCAATGGCCTATCACAAACAGTGACAATACTCCTTAATATTACAAAGTGTGGTGCTTTGAAAGTTAAGAAAGATGTGTAAATCTAATGGAAAAATAACTTTTTATAACGTTATTTTCAGTAAACAAGAAGTCTAGCAGTCCTCATCAGATAACTGTGACACTCACTTATATACCATGTACTTTATCTACCCAAAATATCTTAGCATAATGCAGTAATCTAGTCCTGTTTTTATATATATGTGGCAATTTATAACACAAGAAGTACTTCAACATCTTACAAAGTGCATGCGTTTAAACGAGCTTTGGTAGTTAGAGAAGCAAATGTTATAGCGTCAGGCAAACCAAGGTGCAAAGGTCAATAGAGAAATCAAAATTAGCATGTAGTTGATCTATTTACTGACTTCTAAATTCTGTGAGCCAGGACCTGTGAACTAGTGAAAAGGACAGCAGCCAGTACATTTGTTCCATCTTTTCTCAGCAGCCTGTAGCTGTTTCATTTTGCCAAGCACTTTCCCTTATTCCTATAACACCACTAGTTCCATTTGGCAGTCTCCTTCTGGCCTTTTCTTCCATAAGCAGCATCGCTCTGCTCTGCTCCCAGCCCTGGCACTGCTTCTTCCTCCACACCTTTCTTTGAAGCCACTTAATTCAATGGCAACTCTGTCTTGACAGCTAGAGTATGTTCTGAGTGTTTTTTTCACTCACTTGAATTCATTTCTTTTAATCTAGTGAATCAGCACCTTAACAGCAAACATAACTAATTCATTATAATACATATTAATTCTGGAAACAAACATGTGGCACTTTAGCATGTCCTAAGATGTACACTACACTTTAGCATGTACTAAAAACCTGCAGAACATTTCTTCACACTTTTAGAGCAGGTCAAACTGAGAATCTACGTTATTTCAGCATCCTTTTAATTTCTTAACATTCTCACAGTGCACTTCAAGGCTTTTTCTAAAGGAAAAATATATACTATATTCCACTCACCCGTGCTTAATATTCTTGCATATTGCTGTCCTCTCTCATCACAGCTATTATAATTGGTAAAGTGCATCAAAAATCTCAGTGTGTCAAATAATCGTGCAGCAGACCAAGACCTGTAAAATTACTTTCTCTTTTTCATTACTTGTTTGTTTGCTTGGATTTTTTTTTCCCTAGAGAACAATGTCACAGCATTGCGTTCACTTCAAATCGTTTTGGAAATATCATGCTTACTGATGAGAACCTCCAGGAGCCTGATTTTGGCTTTTGTGTGCTTGTATTCAGAGTATTCCTCAGCCATGGGCACCCGATCTTCTTTCTGAGGACTCCTATGAAATGCAAATAAAAGCATTTTATCACTTTTTATGAGTAATAAGAGAAACAGTCTTAAAAATTAATTCTGCAACAACTGATGAGGATCGGGATTTTTTTACTAATTGTAAATTACTAAGATAATTTGACAGGACCAAAAAGCTCTAATAGACAGAAATAAAATCACATTTAAAATACTGAACTTTCTTATACTAGACAACTTTCTTGACAACTGTGGAAGCATAATTACTTGAGTCTCAAATAGGCAGAGAAGTCATAATAGTGCTTTGAAAACTGTTACCAGTTACCACTGTTACCAGTGCCCATATACATTACGGTTTTCAATAAAAAGGTTTGCTAAATGAAGAGGAGGAAAAGCAGAGTGAAAAATGGCCAGTATTTAATTCTGGGTAAAAAAAACAGTGGCTTCTGGTTTTAAAATCTGGCTGTTTAAAAATGGCCCAACTGCCAAGTCTATTCCCTGCAGAGTGACATCCTCAGAAAGAAACTTTTAGCAGCCTCCCTTGAGCTCAGGGAATATCCTGTGCTGAGGTGGGTATAAACCCATTGCAAGCTTGTCCTGGAAGATCCTCAAATCCTGGCTTTCCTCATGGATGACCACATCTTGAAGGAGCTAAGCAGGGAGATAGATGGACATCTCCAGAGACCGGACATCTCCAGGGTGTTTCCTGCCCTTAGGTACAGCCCCCTTGGCCTGCTCACCCAGAGTGCCCACCCTCACAGAGACCCAAAGGGGATAAGGAGAGGGCTCTGCCGAATTACCTTCCTGTCTGCCTATAGAACTGCTCCTCAAACTCTCGAAGAGCCTTGCGAAGTCTCTTCTTATCAGCTCTTGTTTCTCTGAGATGTTCGAGCAGAACTGGCCTGTGAAACAGAGACAGGAACATGAAACCTCCTTGTGCTTGGGAGGTTGTAAAGCCCTGGATTTGAGCTTCTGCTCTGAGCCCTTGGCAGGCACTGACCAGAGCCCCAAGACATTCCATCACACTCCATACACAGTTGTACTCCTTCCCTCTTGCTGGTATTGCAGCTAATAAAGGGAAGGCAGAGACTCTGGTCAATGGAAGAGGAGAAGCATTCAGGACTGAGCCTTACTGCTGGCCTAAATTCCCTGTGGAATTAATGGAGTTGACAGGGCTCAGTGTCTCACAGGAGGAAATGCTGTAACTGAATTACAGTCAACATACAAGCCCTGCTCCTATTTGCAGCTGTTCCCAATCATTACTGTGATGCACTTGAAATGCTAGTGGTAGCCAGAAGCATAATTGTTGGAGGCCATGTTTTAGCTAGTGTTCAGAGAATAAGGGTTTAAGCAGAGAGAGAATTGTTACAACATTTGCTCCTAGTAATTTTTTAAAATAATGACAAAATGCACAGAAATATCTTCCCAGCATTTATGAGCAAACTACTGCGCACATAGTTGAATTACATAGAAATCTTAAATAATTTTTATTTGATCTCTATAGTGTTAGAGTCTAGTTAGCTTCATTTATGCATCTAAGACCTCCCAATCAAAATACTAAAGAAAATACCATCCCCTAAGGTATAAAAGAACATATCTGTTCCTGGAAGGCACAGTCTTCAACAAGTTACCTTTCTCTTCCTGGAGACAAAAAGTTGGCACAACGTTGTTTGAATAAACAGTTCAAACCACCAGTGTGCTGCCCAAACAATGAATCTCCTCTGCCTCCTCTCTCCCATAAAAAAGCACTGAATCACTCCTTTGGTATAGAATATACCTATGCAACAGGTATGGCTCATATTTCAGGCTCATATTTCACTTACAAAGTCTACAATAAACATTTTAAAACATTCAGGGGGGAAAAAAGAGAGAGAACTTACATTGTTGCCTCATGTAAATTGGACATTGACAAGGCTGTTTGCCTGTAAACTTTCTTTTCATCCAGAGGTGAAATATGTGCAGGCTCACTCTCCTCCTGTGAGTAACACAGGTGCTCTTCTACAGGGAAGCAAGACATTGGGCCAGATGATAACTCATGGCTGCTTTGAGAAGGATCTTCATCTGAGTCTTCCTCCTCCTGCTTGAGAAATGCAAAACATTATCAAATTAATTGTTTAAATGACAATGCTTCCAGTTATAGGCTGACAACATAAAGAATCAGGATCTGACTTCCTGGGTGTATTCAAAACAGAACACACATATTGAAAGGTTTACCAGGCCTACCAGAGGTTGTTCATGAAAGCACTCCTGGGGTCACTGGGTTACTGTGCATTGCCTACCAGGAGTAAAAAGGACACAAGCTGGCCCTGCTCCCAAGTATCTCCAGCCAGCAATTTATTCTGTCTGCCCAAAAGCCTTTACATGTAGCAGAGATTCAACTAATATTCTGTATTTATGTAAGCAGTGCAGTCTGTCTGGAACTTTGCTCCTCTTATATACACATCTCCTGCATGTATATTATATCCAGATCTTTTGACTGTAGAAAGAGTTGGAGGGAGAGATCCCACAGTTTTATAGCTACTAGTGTTAACTACTAAAGTAGACTGATATTGGTGTCTTGATCACATTCTTCCATCCTCAGAAAAAAAGCTGCTCTATTGAAAATAATGCTTAAACAAAAACTCCACAGGGCAAGGCTCCCAACAAGTAACACTTAGGGGGAATTTCAGTGAAATTTTTCAGTTAAATACCCGTATACAAGTATGCCAAGCTTTGCACTGTGATTTCACAAAGAAATGTAAGGTTACACTGTCATCTAACATGACAATAATATTTTTTTTAATTGACCTAGCCCTGCCTACTATTAGATTAGTATTTTTGGTAGACATGCTAATTAACTTCCACTGTCTTCACTCACTATGAGACCAGTACTGTTTCATTGCACTAATATATTATTAAAGTACAACAAATTTCATATATGTGCTCCATGATTGATAAAAGAATTGCTGGTAAGATATAACAGGTATAGTGACAGCAGGGTCCTTCATGGAAAGAGAGGGGTTTCCTTTTGTGTTGCAGATGTTTTCCATGATGGAAAACTAACGTCAGCATTTGCTGTCTTACCCAGCCCACTGAAGTTCTTGCCTCAAAAACTGCTGCTGTACACTGGAACCTCTAGCATGCATAGAAGTTGAATTTTACAGAGCATTTTGAAGTATCAACACCCTGTATTAACTAACAGGCAGGGGATTTTGCTATCAGTTGTTCTATCATTGCTAAATGGACATACAGGTACAAATCAAACACAGCATTTTGTATGTTTCCTTGA